ATTAGCGTGCCACATATTATCAATCAGTCATCACTTTATTCATATAAATATATATCTAATAACCGACCAAAAAAAGAATTATGTGGTAGAGAGTTAATTATTTGCCTAATTAACCACTATATATCGGTCGAGTGAGAGAGATTCTCAATTGTTCTACATGTAACTTGAGACGTTGATTTACCCTCTCGATCAACATTAAATTAAAATTAACAGTAAAGACTTTTTCACCCAGGTTTGCCTTAATAACAATTTTTCACACCAAAAGGTTTAAAATACAATTTACCCAAAGTTAATATTTTACTATATACCCAAAGTCGATTCCAGTAGATTCCATGGCAAAAATTCTCTCCGTCACATCATTAAACCTCTGGTCTCTTTTTACAAAACCTCTTTCACCCGACATATTTCGTCAATGTGACAACTACAAAGCTATGATTTCTGTTCTTAACTGATTTTTAGCTATTCGATGGTAATATTCAATCATACTACCATTCGTCTATTGGCCTTCACTCTACAAAAACCCTCTTACTCTGACTTCCATAACTTGTGAAAGTTGGTGAGAAATTGAAGTTATTTGAGTATTAACAGAATAAACGTTGGTGGAAAGCGATATTTTGAAACTTTTTGGGTGAAAAATGTCATTAAGGCAAACCTGGGTAGGCAAAATGTTTTCTCTAAAATAATTCACAAATGACAATTGAAAGAAACAAAGCTTTTTAATTTATATGACATTTATATAATATGTACAATGCCCTATGAGGATGCATCTAAATTTTGGCAAACTATATAGTTCATGCAGTGAACCTTCCCTAGAAGATGTAAGCTTAAGAATTGATTCTCTACTTCTTCGAGGAGAGCCTATTAAATAAGATTAAATATTAAATTAATTTCTTTTAATCAAGTTGTTGATTATAATTTCTGTTTTTTTTTAGTTGATAAGTTATGTTTTGTTATAAAGAATATTTATTTTTTATATTTTTTTCTTGGAAAAGGAAATTCATCCAGTTCTTTATGTACAAGCTTGTTTGATTGATAAGATTTAGTAAATTCGAAGAATACATGCATGTGTCTTGTGCAAGAGATTTATTTTTAAATGTATTATTCTATAAAATTTATCAAAAACATTTTGGACATTGTATTAAAAGTTTGAGTGATACGAAAAAAAAAAAAAAAAACCGTAAAATTCGTATAAACTCAATTCAACTCGACTTTATTAAATAACATGATCGATATTGGGATGAACGACGTTATTCATAAGAATTTATTCTATTCACAAAAAACAATCATTCTTTATGAAAAAAAAAATGTTTTTATAAAGGAATGACAATTCTTTATGAAGAAAGGTTGTTTGTCCCTAAGAATATCGTTTATATTAATTAATATTTAATGTTTTGTGTGTGATGGGACTATATGAAGTTGTTAACTCAACATTACGTTAGAAAGAAAGATTGATTTGTGAGCAAGAGTATTACTCTATAATAAAATTTTTAGTAAAAATAAATAAATAAATTTGCCCAAGGTACTCCATCATTTATACATGGTGTTTGATAATTAACAAATCAGGTTTTTAAATTAGGTGAACAAGGATCATGACGTTGGTTCCATAAAATTATAATATACATTATCCAAACTTAACAATATAATTAAACTCTTATCTTTCATTGATGCTAATTGTAACTTGAAGCAAAAACGATGGTTATAAATTTCCTTCGATGATTGGTGATTAATTAAAATATTGTAGGAATAATTTGTAACATTATTTAGTTCAGGTTATATTCATTTTTAATTATAATAAAAAATTAGTGATCAATTAAAATATTGCATCTTGATAACGCCACTAGAATACAACCAAAATGAGAAAACAACTTGCCCGCTTTCATGCCACGTCACCAAACGCCATGCGACAAAACATAGAATATTCTAGCATCTACCCACACGTCTCTAATTCAAACCTGTCCACCATTACAATTTTACTGTGTACCACACCGCAAGGGATCATTTCCTACTTGTGCCGGATCTTGCTGACCTGGCATTAATTCCATTTAAAAAAATAAAATAAAACAGTTAGAATTGGATTTTTGTCATCCAAAATTGATTTTAAAGACTTAAATAAATTTTAAAATAATTGTTTTTATCTATCCGTTCAAATTTTTTGGATCAAACAATATATTAAATATATAATCATTTGGTATTTAATAATTAATTATATTAAATTAAATATGTACTGTAGAGTTTCCAAATTAGGTCGCCTGGTCATCATTCCCCTACTCTGCGACTACAGTGCTGGCCTCAGCCTCTGCAGTCACCATCTCGTTAACGTCTGTCCATTAACGCTGATTGTAATTTATAACTATCGTTCATGGGCATATCCAGGGGATCATGTTAACGGCGTTGGATTTCTCCGTTAAACGCTTAGCTGGATGCCACTGTCACACCTGGGGTTCCCTCTGAATGGGCCAGCTGGAACGATACTCTCTGTTGCACATGGTCAGCTACGACTGTCTGGAGCACCTTGTGAATTTACATATCCGCCCTTGTTGCCTATGTTATTTGCTAATATGCCTTTCTGCATGTTTTTTATTGGATTGAAATTGACAGTTTTCGGCTAATATTTGAATTGACTTCATGGTACCGAAAACAGTAATTTGACTTTTACACCCCTAAAATTAAGTGATATATAATTTAATGTATTTGATTACAGTTATTACACCAACCTCATAATATTATACTGAAATTAACAAAAAGTTTTCTGAAATTATAAAATTTTTAAATAAAATATATATTTATAAAGAAATTAAAATATTACAAGAAAATATGTAAACTAATTTTCAAACCCTTAAAATAATGTTTTAATAATAATGCATAATCATAAAAAGAAAGTTACAAAATAGTCTCAAACATTTTTTTTTATAATTTTTCTTCACTTAAAAGAAGATTTTTCTACCAAAAACACGTTTACTTGTGGTTGAAGCATTTTGGTAGTAATAGCATAAAGAAGGAGTAGTAATGTAAATTTGAGGTGGTAATCGGTGATTCGAATGGATGGGTCTTTAAAATCCTGTATTAGCTTTGGCTTGCGTAAGAAAGTGAAAAATCTAGAAAGTACAGGAATCTAGGATTATAGCTTTCAGAAATTTAATGAAAAATAACTTATTAAATCAGGAAATACTCCCCTGCTTCCACTCACACCCTTTTTTTAAATATCTATCACATTTTGTAAAATATTTGGAAACACTAGAAAAATAATAATTTAAAAATAGACAATTATAGTCCTGATAATGTGCATTAAATTATAAAATTTTATTTTAGCCATATTTGAATGTTAATTATGTTATGTTTACCATTAAATCATTAAACATGACATTAAAGTTGATTTATTTTCGTCATAATAAAATTTTGAATTTTAAATTTTAAATTTTAAACTGATTTGATAAAATTATTGTACAATCAAATTAAAAATAATTTTGATTGTATTTCATCAATTAATATAAAGTGCTTATTTATATAGTAAAGTGTGGAAGTGAGTAAAAAGTTTCTTTATCTTAATATGTGTTGTGTCGAAGTGGGGTAACAAACCATTCATTATATGAAACGTGGTAAAGGACTGCTTTGTTTGGGAACGAAAAAAATAAAATCACAACACATTCGGGGCACCGGGCACCTCACTGGCTTGTAATTTCATGCGGGTGCACAAACAGGTAAGCAATTATGTCGAGTGAATTCTAACATAGCCGCTTTTACTAATTGTAATTAAAAGGATATTAAAAATAAATTGTTTTAGTTATATTAATGTATTAATATAAGTAAAATAATTTTTTTTTTAACATGATATCAAGATTTTTAGTCTTGTGATATGAATATGTAACTAATTAATTATAATTATCTGTATTAATATTATAATAAATTTCATTAATCCCTCTTAATTGTAAGAATTAATTTCACTCATGCCTTATGAATATGAATATGACCAAGAGGTAAATAAAGTTATTTGATTTAGTTTTTTCAGGAATTTCTGTTTTTTTTTTTTTTTTTTAAACATAACGTAATTAAGAGTTTGAATTTTTTAGAATAGTTTCATTAACTTGTTTTAATGCTTGGTTAAATATGAATCTTATGTAATAAAGGTAAGTTGATTAATATATATAAGATAGAATTTAGACATTTCATGGAGTTACTATGCGCAGCACTAAGAATTAGGAGCCAATTTGGATAGGATTAGTAAATATGATAATAATTTAAACTTAAGTAGTGGAGAAATTAAGGGTCAATTGGCTATGATTAATAAATGACAAATTTTTTTTTTTTTTTTTAAATAAACAAAAAATATGAGCAAGAGAGTATTGTCAAATTCCATAGAAAAGAAATTGGGCTATTTGAATAGCATGGTTTTAAATCAAATAAAAACAACAAATAAAGCCAATTATAAAGACTTTTGAGTATCCAAGCAAGCATAAAATTAGTATAAATTAAATTAACCATTATTTAATTATTAAGTCTTTTAAGTTTTTTCCAAAATTTTATTTTATTTTTCATATATTTCATCATAATTTATTTTCTCGCGCACACACGTGCTTATATATATATATGAGACTCAAATTAAAATAATTTTGTATCGATATGCTATTAATTCCAATTTTCTTTGTTAATAAATCACCAATTATATAAATTATTAGAAATTTCATGAACATGGATTAATTGTGCTTTCGCATTTTATGTTATATAAATATAAAAAACTCATAGAAATATAATTTAAATAAATTTTTAAAACTAAAAAATTAAGAGATCCGATAAATATTTAGAAAACGTGCTTAAATCGAAATAATTTTAAAATAATAATGTTAAAAATTAGAAAATAAAAAATGAGAATAATGGAAAAGACAGAGAAATAGGAGGAATAGAGAATAGAAGACAGAGAGAGAGAGAGAAGTGAAAGAAAGAAAGGTGTCTCGTGAAGCAGTGGGTGAAAGGAAGAAAAGAAAAAGAAGAAAAAAAAAAAAAAAAGTTCTTCTCTCTCTCTTTTCTTTCTTCTCCTGTGGAAAACTAAAACCCTCTCACTCTTCAATCTCTACCATTTTCCCCCTCACATTCATTCTTTGCTTCCTCCTTTTATATATCACGAGATCCCCATCTCTTTCTTTCTTTCCCCCATCTCATGCCTCCTTCTTCAAACCCTCTTCTTCTTCCTCCTCCTCCTCTTCCCCTCCCTTTTCTTCCTCTTCAATACCTTCCTTTCTCACTTTCTCTTAGTTACATTCACACACATTGCTGTTACTAAACAAACCCAAGAGAGAATCTGACTGTCCATCTCGCCATTTTGTCTTCTTGTTCGCTAATTTGATTAATTTTGACAATTAGAATGTCGCATTCCGGGAAGAACATCACCACTGACTTAGGGTTTGATAATCTTTCCATTCATGACTCCTTCAGTTGCGAAATGAACAAGCCCGATTTCCGAGAACTCGATCTAGGGTCACCGGTCTCGCCACTTCGGACTCGAACCACTGGACTCTCCACCACTACCACTACCACTACCACAACCACCACCAGCTCCAGCTCTAGCTCTTCCGGATCCATCTCCGGCCAAACGAGGTCCAATCCAGTTGCCAAAAGGCCTGAATCTAGCCCTAACAGCCACTCCGGTGAACTCTCTGGTTCCTGTGAAACGAGCCCAACCGCTCCTAACCGTAATTTGAAGGTGGGTCATAGTAGATCCGAGTCCGGATCCGCGTACCCTTTAATCTACTCCGGTCAGCACCAGAACCAGAGTTCCGTCAACTCACCGCCCATTAATGTACTTCCCACTGGCAACATCTGTCCATCTGGAAAAATATTGAAAACGGGAATGGGTCTAACGGCTAACCGGAGCACGAGAACCGACACGCTTGGATCCGGTTCGGGTCATTATGGGCACGGAAGCATAATGCGTGGCGGGAGTAGCAACGTTTCCACTGCTTCGTCTTGTAGAAGCGGAGGAGGTGTAGCGGTGGGCCCGGAAAATGTGGCTGGTGGTAAGATTCATAGAGGCGGAGCTAGCGGTGGAGATGCCGAGGAGTTGAAGAGAATAGGAAATGAGTTTTATAGGAAGCGATGTTTTGGTGAGGCTTTGAGTATGTATGATAGGGCGATAGCTTTAGCGCCGGGAAACGCCGCTTATCGGAGTAATAGGGCAGCAGCTTTGACGGGTTTAAGGAGGATTTGGGAGGCTGTCAAGGAATGCGAGGAGGCTGTGAGATTGGATCCTAATTATTGGAGGGCTCATCAACGTTTGGCATCTTTGCTGATAAGGTGAGCGTGAGAGTGAAGTTTGAGCTTTTTTAGGGGTTTTTAGTTGATTATTTTGATAACTGTGGGTCGAGTTTTGGAGGGTGTGCGCGGTTCTTGTGAGTTTTGCTGATCTTTAATGTACATTGGTGAGAATGGTTTAATTTGTCAGGTCAACCTGATGGATTAATTGAGTATGGTGTTTTGGGTTTTGTTTTAAGTTGTACGGAGAATGTTTGCTTGATTATTGGTGGATGTATATATGTGAGTTCTGGTGATATTTTGAGCTACATTGGTGAGAAGGATTTTGCTTTTGTGAGGTTGTTAGATGGGTGAATGAAGCTGTCTTTTGTTGGTTGTATTGATATTCATAATGCTTGATTGTTGATGAGAATGTTTTATGCTGTTTGATGTTTATCATACGGGTTATGAATTGCCTAAATTTTGGGGATTTTGTGGTGTAATGGGTGGTCAAATCCGTGCTTTGGTTATGTAGATGGTTATTCTTACTTAGGTTGATGCATTAGTGGGTGAAATTATTGATCTTGTACTGATTTTATTGATGTGTTTCTTAATTTTGGATGTCCTGATTTCATTGGCTAGTGAGTGTGCGTTTGTTGATACGTCGATATGCAGTATTGAAATTGGTTATATATTGGATTGTTAGATCTTGTTCATGTGTTGACATTGACTATCTACAGTTCCTTTTTTCTCTTTTACCCTTTACCTTATCTATCTGAGTTCATTTTGTTTCAGATTTGTTTGGTCCAAAAAAGGCATTAGCTTGAATGCTTAAATTTCTTGGTTTCTCATCTTATTTTTCCTGATTTCTTGGGTTTCATTTACTTTGTCACTTAACTTCTCTTTTGTTGATTCTCCTTCAACCCACTGATCATAGGTTTTTTTATTGCTTTCAATAATTAAAAGTATTGTTGGCAATGTGATATCACTTTGTTAATTGCATATGTTTCAGTTTTTTGACTACTTTTGTATGATTTAGGTTCTTGATGGCAGTCTTTTGCTTGTTTATATCTTTTTGGATAGTCGAAATCCATTATAGGTTTTGGCCATGCCATTAAATGAATTTTGATACAGGTTAGGGCAGGTTGAGAAGGCCAGGAGCCACCTTTGTTTGCCTGGGCAGCAGCCTGATCAAAATGAGTTGCACAAGTTACAGGCAGTAGAGAAGCATCTTAGCAAATGCACAGATGCTCGGAAAGTTCGTGATTGGAAGAGTGTGCTAAGGGAAGGTGAAGCAGCCATTGCTGCTGGAGCTGACTTTTCTCCTCAGGTAAATGCCTATCTGATATTTGTTGTAATGAATATGGTGCATATGGAAAGTAACAAATGGCTTAACTGGGTCAAATTGAAATTTCAGCTCCTTATGTGTAGAGCAGAAGCACTTTTGAAACTCCACCAACTTGAAGATGCTGAATCAAGCCTATCAAACATTCCCAAATTGGAAACACCTACTGTCTCTTGCTCACAGACTCCGTTTTTTGGAATGCTCTCTGAAGCTTATCCCTTCTTTGTCCGAGCTCAGATTGAAATGGCATTGGGAAGGTGAGTTCTAACTGTTATGCTTTGTCAGAAATAAGATGCCAAAGGGGAGAGTGAGAACAGATAATGGATGTCTTGCAGGTTTGAGAATGCAGTTACAGCTGCCGAGAAAGCTGGGAAAATTGATCCTCGGAATGTTGAAGTTGCGGTACTGCTAAACAATGTCAAGTTTGTGGCAAGAGCTCGTGCCCGTGGCAATGATCTCTTCAAATCTGAAAGGTTCACTGAAGCCTGTGCAGCTTACGAAGAAGGCCTCAAGCTTGATCCATCAAACTCTGTTCTCTATTGCAACAGAGCAGCTTGTTGGTTCATGCTGGGGCTTTGGGAGCGATCTGTTGAAGACTGCAACCAAGCTTTGCGTATTCAACCCAATTATACCAAAGCTCTTCTTCGGAGAGCTGCCTCAAACAGCAAGGTATGGTGTCTGATAAAACTTGTATTGTTTGCTTAACTGCTTGTAGATATATCCAGTGATAATTGTGGCAAATTGCAGCTAGAAAGGTGGGCTGATGCTGTGAGAGATTATGAGGTTTTAAGAAGGGAACTTCCAGATGACAACAAAGTTGCTGAGTCCCTATTTCATGTGCAAGTTGCATTGAAGAAATCTCGTGGTGAAGAAGTTTACAATATGAAATTTGGTGGTGAAGTAGAGGAAGTTTCAGGTCTTGAGCAGTTCAGAGCTGCAGTATCTTTACCCGGTAAGCATTCCTCCTGCATTTTGGAATTTGAGAAACAATGTTGTTATAGAATCCTTTTAACATTGTATTTAAAAAATTACAGGTGTATCTGTTGTCCATTTCAAATCGGCATCTAACTCACAATGCAAACAAATATCTCCATTTGTGGATACATTATGCGGCCGCTACCCTTCGATAAATTTTCTTAAGGTAATTCAGTTGCTTTATATTTGAGCCCTTGATTTTTTACTTGTTCAGGGGAGAATGAAAGAAAGAAAGTGGATTTCTTATATTAATAAAGAAAGTGGATTTCTTATATTAATTTTTGTTTTTTTGATTAAAAGGTGGACATTGATGAGAGTCCGGCAGTTGCAAATGCTGAGAATGTGAGGATTGTACCAACGTTCAAGATATACAAAAAAGGTAGCCGGGTGAAGGAAATTGTCTGCCCTAGTCGTGATATGTTGGAACACTCGGTGAGGCATTACAGCTTTTAGNGACTGTTGATGAGAATGTTTTATGCTGTTTGATGTTTATCATACGGGTTATGAATTGCCTAAATTTTGGGGATTTTGTGGTGTAATGGGTGGTCAAATCCGTGCTTTGGTTATGTAGATGGTTATTCTTACTTAGGTTGATGCATTAGTGGGTGAAATTATTGATCTTGTACTGATTTTATTGATGTGTTTCTTAATTTTGGATGTCCTGATTTCATTGGCTAGTGAGTGTGCGTTTGTTGATACGTCGATATGCAGTATTGAAATTGGTTATATATTGGATTGTTAGATCTTGTTCATGTGTTGACATTGACTATCTACAGTTCCTTTTTTCTCTTTTACCGCTTACCTTTTCTATCTGAGTTCATTTTGTTTCAGATTTGTTTGGTCCTAAAAAGGCATTAGCTTGAATGCTTAAATTTCTTGGTTTCTCATCTTATTTTTCCTGATTTCTTGGGTTTCATTTACTTTGTCACTTAACTTCTCTTTTGTTGATTCTCCTTCAACACACTGATCATAGGTTTTTTTATTGCTTTCAATAATTAAAAGTATTGTTGGCAATGTGATATCACTTTGTTAATTGCATATGTTTCAGTTTTTTGACTACTTTTGTATGATTTAGGTTCTTGATGCCAGTCTTTTGCTTGTTTATATCTTTTTGGATAGTCGAAATCCATTATAGGTTTTGGCCATGCCATTAAATGAATTTTGATACAGGTTAGGGCAGGTTGAGAAGGCCAGGAGCCACCTTTGTTTGCCTGGGCAGCAGCCTGATCAAAATGAGTTGCACAAGTTACAGGCAGTAGAGAAGCATCTTAGCAAATGCACAGATGCTCGGAAAGTTCGTGATTGGAAGAGTGTGCTAAGGGAAGGTGAAGCAGCCATTGCTGCTGGAGCTGACTTTTCTCCTCAGGTAAATGCCTATCTGATATTTGTTGTAATGAATATGGTGCATATGGAAAGTAACAAATGGCTTAACTGGGTCAAATTGAAATTTCAGCTCCTTATGTGTAGAGCAGAAGCACTTTTGAAACTCCACCAACTTGAAGATGCTGAATCAAGCCTATCAAACATTCCCAAATTGGAAACACCTACTGTCTCTTGCTCACAGACTCCGTTTTTTGGAATGCTCTCTGAAGCTTATCCCTTCTTTGTCCGAGCTCAGATTGAAATGGCATTGGGAAGGTGAGTTCTAACTGTTATGCTTTGTCAGAAATAAGATGCCAAAGGGGAGAGTGAGAACAGATAATGGATGTCTTGCAGGTTTGAGAATGCAGTTACAGCTGCCGAGAAAGCTGGGAAAATTGATCCTCGGAATGTTGAAGTTGCGGTACTGCTAAACAATGTCAAGTTTGTGGCAAGAGCTCGTGCCCGTGGCAATGATCTCTTCAAATCTGAAAGGTTCACTGAAGCCTGTGCAGCTTACGAAGAAGGCCTCAAGCTTGATCCATCAAACTCTGTTCTCTATTGCAACAGAGCAGCTTGTTGGTTCATGCTGGGGCTTTGGGAGCGATCTGTTGAAGACTGCAACCAAGCTTTGCGTATTCAACCCAATTATACCAAAGCTCTTCTTCGGAGAGCTGCCTCAAACAGCAAGGTATGGTGTCTGATAAAACTTGTATTGTTTGCTTAACTGCTTGTAGATATATCCAGTGATAATTGTGGCAAATTGCAGCTAGAAAGGTGGGCTGATGCTGTGAGAGATTATGAGGTTTTAAGAAGGGAACTTCCAGATGACAACAAAGTTGCTGAGTCCCTATTTCATGTGCAAGTTGCATTGAAGAAATCTCGTGGTGAAGAAGTTTACAATATGAAATTTGGTGGTGAAGTAGAGGAAGTTTCAGGTCTTGAGCAGTTCAGAGCTGCAGTATCTTTACCCGGTAAGCATTCCTCCTGCATTTTGGAATTTGAGAAACAATGTTGTTATAGAATCCTTTTAACATTGTATTTAAAAAATTACAGGTGTATCTGTTGTCCATTTCAAATCGGCATCTAACTCACAATGCAAACAAATATCTCCATTTGTGGATACATTATGCGGCCGCTACCCTTCGATAAATTTTCTTAAGGTAATTCAGTTGCTTTATATTTGAGCCCTTGATTTTTTACTTGTTCAGGGGAGAATGAAAGAAAGAAAGTGGATTTCTTATATTAATAAAGAAAGTGGATTTCTTATATTAATTTTTGTTTTTTTGATTAAAAGGTGGACATTGATGAGAGTCCGGCAGTTGCAAATGCTGAGAATGTGAGGATTGTACCAACGTTCAAGATATACAAAAAAGGTAGCCGGGTGAAGGAAATTGTCTGCCCTAGTCGTGATATGTTGGAACACTCGGTGAGGCATTACAGCTTTTAGAACTCAAAGACTATATATTGTACTTCTGTCAATTTTAGATTTCTTCTTGCTGCCCAACCTCCCAATTCGATGGGAATACACTCTTCCACTGCCGTCCCAGCTTCCACCATAAAACGATTACTAGACAACTGTGACATAAATCAGAACCACATAATAATCTCATTAGCCAATGGAACCCAGAGAGGTAGCTTAGCCCCTTTTGCAGTTTTTATTTATTCATTCATTTCTCATTGTCCTGTGGTTCCATTTTCTTCCTGCCCATTTCCTTTTGTCATTTTCCCTTTTTTTTTTTTCTATTTGGAACTCCTTTTCCATTTTCTTTGTAGGTCAGCCTGGTTCTTGTATCCCCACTTCCGTTGAGAGGAAAAAAAATAAAAAAAATTCAGAGGTATGTACAATTTGATTAAATCTGGTCCCTTAGCCACATTTTAGAGAGAGTAAGAACTAGCAGGCTGTTAGAAGAGAGGATCTGACGATCTGTACATGTATATATGTGATGATATATACAACAAATTGGAAGCCCTGAGGGAGATTGGATGTCTGGTGGGTACTTAGTTTACTGGGTTAGTGGAAAGAAGGATGAAGAATATGTTGTTATTAATACTGTTGTTTTTTACCCCCAATCATTTCATCAATAAAAAAAAGATCCCATTTTTTCCTTCTGTCTTTTCTCTCCTCTCCTCCCTTTGCATTCATTCATTTTCTTCCATATTATTGATAATTTCACCGATACATTTATGAAAGAGAAATCTGACTTGGTCTAGAAAGAAAAGTTTGGTTTTGTTATTAAGGAGTGGACAGAGTGGTTGACAGAATTCATTACTCCTCCTCTAACAAGTCTACACTCTACCGTTAACACACAAACCCACTTTTTTTTAAATTTTGATAAATAATTACATAAAAATATAAGTGGGTTTTGTTTTTCGGTTTAAAGTTGCCTTAATTTTGGGGCACGGCACAGTTTTTAGTGAGCGACTTATTTTTAAGGGTTTCTATTTTCTAATCTAATCTTCTCAATCCAATCACATGTGGGCATTTAAGTGACCCACGCTAACACGGCGCACCGAACCCACTAAAAGCCTCCAAAAGTGGTACTGGTCAGTGCTAATTTGCGCCTAATGGTGACGGTAACCGTCCCTTTTTCTGTGGGTTCTCCCTTAGCATTGGCCACGTGTTGTGCCGTTGCATTCAATGCTATCATTATAATCTCAATGTCAGTGTCCTTTTTTTTATAGTTTTCGTTGACGTTGAGGGGCATCGTCGGTGTTCAATATTTCTATGGAAAGCTCTTCATTTGGTAGAAGACAAATTTTTTTTTTTATTTAATTAAAATTTGCCACGTCGATAAATACCTCGATATTCTCATTATTTGTTTTTAATTAATTAAAAAAAGTGAAATTAACCAAAAAAATATTAAAACAAAATTAATTTAAATAGCAAAATGACAGCTCTGGTCCTTATCAAATATTCTTGACAGTAACATCAAAATTCACTGAAATTGGGAAGCGGGTGAGGTGACGCGCCTCCGTAGACATGGAGCGCGCTTGGTGGGTGGGCCGTGGGGGTGGGGCGTTTGCTAATTATGGGATAAAGATAAGAGATTCAGAAATTCAGAAACTGAAACCAAAAGCAAGTCAGGATGACTAATTCGTACTATACTGTATAATTAGTACTGTATGTATTATTACGACCACCACCACTACGACTACACGGTCAACAATGCCATAATAAATAGCCGTTGTGTATCAGTTCTCCGGTGTCGTTTTCTATTGACAATTGAATATTGATTGATTTGGCTTTCTGTCAATTTTTTTCTTTTCTTTTTAACGGCTTCACACGCTTGTGTGTCATTGTAGAACTCCCTCTCATAAATCATAGTGTTACGATGACAGTTTATAATGAGTTATATTTGTCAAATTATAAACTCATCAATTACAAATTGTCAAATTAACATTGCAAGAGAAAGTTTATAAGATTGAATTGTGAGTCAATCTTAATTGTATATTTAATACCTTATTTACTGTTTATATTTAATATCACTATCTAAGTGTTATAAGATTTATGCTTTAAATTAAACAATCCCGATAGGAATGCATTAGATAAACCCTATTAATAAAAAATAATATTACATTTATAACACACTCTCACAACATTATCTTATAATCCCAACATAGCAGTTGAGTTGACGACTGTCGCGTCAACTCTCATCACACTCAATGTACTAAATAACTTTAATTAAACACGAACGGTCGTTTCCTTCATAAAGAATGACCGTTTCTTATAAATGAACAATTGTTCATTCATAAAAAAATGATTGTTTCTTTTGAATGAACAACCATTTCTTATGAATGGAATAACCATTCTTTATGAATAAATGATTATTCATCCTTAAGGAACGATTGTTTATCTTTAAGGAAGGACCATTCATATTTAGTCAAAGTTATCTATTAATGTAATAGTGTCAACTTTACTATCACGTTAGGGTTATAAGAGAAGATTGTGAAATTGAATTGTAAACGTACTATTTTTTATTAGTAAATGATGTGGAAAGCAAGCTGAGCTTGGTAGGAATAGACTAAAATGGAAACAATATTGGAATTTCAGTTTCATATGAATCCTCATAAATTGAAAGAAAAAAGGGTAAATATTTAAAGGTGTAACGATTGTATTGAAAAATGGAAATAAAAATGTCAATGCCACCTTAATAAGTAGTGTTTTGTAGTCCAAACTAGGAACATATTAATCCATTTTTATGTAATGGTCCACAATACCCTCTTTTCAAAAGCTTCCCAGTTGACAAACACTAGTTTATTTATTTTGATGTAATATGTGGGTCATTTTGGGATTCTGTTTCTTTAGGCCCAAATTTAAGGTTCTTTTTTTTATATTTAGTTTTCTTACTATAAAAATTCCCACATTAGATTTGCAAAATTATTTGTTGATTTCATATCACTTCACTTGTCAATTCATTATTTCTTTAAGTTAAGCGTCAAGTTCTTATCAAATATTGGCTGATTCTTTGGTTTGTGGTCCGTAGTGAGGTTGCTGCCAGTATATGGGTTTGGACCTTTTTGTGGATGTGGCTTTCAGAGAGAGACCTTCTGTTTGTGGCCATTATCTCCCCGGTGACAGGTGTGCATGTTGTTGCTGATATGTGGACTGTTTACAAGGTTTGGGGCTACACTTCGACATGCAGGGAGTATGTTTTGTTAATATGTAATTTTGTACAGGCTCTTCTCTGTTTTTTTTATACAAGGCCTGCCTTTTTTTGTGCTGTTTTAGGCTTCCTTGAGGTTAGATCACTGGTAGTCAGGATTTTTTTGGGTCCTGGGAATGTCCAGGACGCTTAAACTTTTGTAGAGACTCTCTTTGGGGTCTCATTCTTTTTTTTCTTAATACTATTTCCATTTACGCAAAAAAGAAATGGCTGGCTTGGAATTGGATGAATCATAAGGATCCAATTCTTGAAGCTAATGAAGCCCACTTCAAGGAGCAAGCCCCAATAAACTAATTTTAATGGTTTTGATGAAATTTTATAATTTCTAAATGTTTTTTTTTTTTTTTTTTTTTTAACGGGGTCTTCAAGTTAGTTTGTGTGTATCTCAATGAATGGTCAATGACTATTCCTATTAGTGTAAGTGGGAACTCAAACTCAAAAACTCATATTGAACTGTTGTGGTTTTTTACTATCAAGTTACTCAGTGATTATTAATACTCTCTAAATATTGGAAAATTCCTTTATGAAAAAATCTTTGAATTTGTATGAATCTAAATGACTTGATACAATTAAAATTATAAATTTATTGGAAACAATTAAGATTTTATTCTGATTAACTTCAAGTGGAAAATCAAAGCCAATTGTCACACATGCATGAAAGCAAAGGTACATTAATTCCCAGACGACCGAAGATAAAACTAGGAAGCTTAATTATCCTTCTTGTGATTACAATTTACTGATGTTTTAAAGGTTAAACCAGATCCATCAAACTTTTCCTTGTCCATTTTCTCCAAACCTTCTGCCATTGAAGCTGTTAAATAATCTTCCCAACTCCCACCTTGCCTTTTCTAAAGAACATACTACTGTCAAACCCTATATGATGTTTACTCCAAATCTTTATTCACCTTGCTCTTTGCTCATGTTCCAGCACCCCAAAACATGTTCCCAAATGGGGCCATAACTTTGAACTCCATTACGAGCCATCTCAAATTAAAGCTTCCTCCATCGAATGCTTCTCTCATTTTTCTCCTTGAATTCCGAGCAAGAATTTCCACTCGGAGATGAATTGGTCCAGAGGATTCCAACACGAGTAAACAACGCGACAATTAGATTTCACAATGGAATGTGGAAGTGAAGAATATGGCGCATGCGATGCATTGCGAACATCCTAGGTTTCGAGAGTTCTCCAAGACAAGGAGTTTGATTTTCATATAATCGCGAGCCTCGAAGAAAGGTATTAGTAGTTGAGCGAATGCTGCGTGCAAGGGGCTTTGTTCTAGCCTATAACGAGAGCGATTGACTATGGTAAATGTGAGAGATGTTGAGCCAAATGCTGCCGGATAGGTGCATAGTATCACGTCGCCGTCTTGTGCTTGGAAAGGAAATCATGGGACGAATTAAAGGAGATGGACACCAGAAGCCTAAGTATTGATGAAAATGATAATCATCCCACAATTCCACTCTTGGAAGGCTCAAGATTATTTCTTCATCCTTCTTTCTTTGCTCTTCGACTATGCTTTTCTCCATGGATATAGTTCTTAAGAGAATTGAGGTGAGAAATATTTTTTCCTATATCTAGCTATAGCAAAGATGATACTATATATAAGAACAAGCATATGTATGTAAATAAAGTTAACCTAATGACATGCATGTGGTATCACCTGGCTAGGATTTTATTTTACGACGCTTGCAGTGAACGAAGGTGGAATTCAATATTTAATTACCCAATAAAGAAGCTACATTTGGGGTATATAGTTCACTACTATCTAACTATAGTGCTAATTCTATCTATATTATCACATATAATTTAATCATCCATTCTAGCTAGCTTACGGTTATGGCATGTCAAATATCATTTCAATTTCAACAAATATCAGGGAATTAAAATCCTTTCTCGACTGCTAATAGGGGTAGTCACTAGAACTCTTATCTGATTAGTAATTTCAATGTCATAAACTGGTCCGAATACCCCTAATCGGAAAAAAAAAAAAAAAAAAAAAATATATTGGAGAATTGATAAGGGTAACGTGATTAGAAACAAGGTTTTATATACAAATAATGCAATACATTTAGAAAAATACCTTGCATATGAACATTCCAAAAACATATTTACATTTATATATTGTGATTCAAGATAGAGATTCATTTTGCTTAAAATTGAATACTACTGATATGAAAAGACATAACAAAATGAGTACATAATATAATATGCTTAATTATTATTAATATATAAAAAAAAAAAAAGAGAGAAAAATGCCTAATTTTCTTCTATTGATATCACATAACACGCATCAAAAGATAAACTTATCACATAAATTTTTTCATATCCGACCTCAATCATGTAGCAAAGCTATAAGATAATTTCTAGTTTCTTCCAACAAAACATCTAGAAAAACTATAAGCTTTTTGAACATATTTACTAATTTAGTTTAAAGCCAAGA